TTTTTTTTAAACCCCAAAAAAAAAAAAAAAAAAAAAAAAAAAAAAAAAAAAAAAAAGAACAGTTGTGGCATGTGCTTGAAAACGGCGATTTCTGAAATGATTGCAGAATTTTTCCCCACGATCTAAGCTTAGTTTTCTGCAAGTTTAGATGAAACATTCGTGACAACGAGGTAATTCATTCCTCTTAACGCTAAAAGCTAATAGTCACTCACTCACCGCTTTAATTCTATTGTTAGAGCACAATAGCGGGTGATGAAAAAAGCGTTCCATCGAAAGACTGTTGTTGGAATTCCCAGTCGGTGAAGCAGGGACGAAAAGGTCGACAATTGAAATACGTAAATTGTATTATGTGTGTATCTTTGTGGTTAATGTGATAGGATACCGTAAAATTCCGAAAATAAGCAACGGGGCTTATATTTTTCAAAGGCCCTTTTTGAGGGGCTTATTTTTGGAGGGGCTTATATTCGGAGGGGCTCATCTACGGAGGGAAGTTTGCGTTTCAAAATCGATAGGGCTAGCCTTATAGTTGGAAGTAAATTTACCGTTTTTGCTTTGTTTTACTTTGTATTTGCTGGCAATTTTCCAAGCACAAGCCCCCGGGGGGCTTATATTTGGAGGGGCGATTTAACGAAGGGTTTTTTGTGTTACCGGTTTGGGGGGCTTATATTTGGAGGGGCTTATACACGGAGGGGCTTATTTTCGGAATTTTACGATATTGATTTGTGGAAGTTAAAGATGGCACACGAATAACTAAAAAGCCTGCATTTGAATGGTAGCAATGAGTCCCGTGGCAGGCGTTCCCGTACAACGTTATTGTGAACTTTCTTTTAAAAGGTAAAATGGTTTTCTCTCCTTACCTCGCATAAATCCTTTAACTTTGCGGTGTTTTGTTGCTGAGGTGAGGTAGTTGTTCCTAGTGAACCCCCAGAAATGCAGAGAATCAGTAAAACAGCGAAATACTGAACCATGATGAGAGCTGAAGAAAAACACTGCGATTACTGAGATCAGCGCTACGTGCGCATGAGTTAAATAGCGAATGTTTCAAGGTTAATCTTCTCTTCCTTTTTAGCGTTTGTTTGTTTGTTTATATCCTTTCTTTTGTTCTTGCGTCATTAATCTTTTCAGCCTCTTATTTTAAGCTCATCTTCTATGGAGCGGAGTGCTGAAATTGGGCGAACAAAAGAGAAATTACTTGTTTTATAATACGTACTTTTTTATTTTCATACTTTTGATTGTTTTTTTTGTAGGTGTTCTGTTTTGTTTTTTCTCTCTAACCAAGTTATTACAAATAACGTTTTAAGTACGTGTCGTTTTAAAGATCGCTCTATGGATTTGTCTTTTTATAGTACAAAAGTATAATTTTGATCTAACATTAGCACGGCAAGCCTAAACTTGTATGTTTTCTTTGGACATAGTTATTCGAGGAGACTGGTTATGAAAAGCGGCAAACATCAATGATAAAAACAACAGTGCTGCAGTACATGTTGGAAGCACCCTGAAAGTGCACAATCCTTTGTTTTCTGTTGGCAAATTGTTACGGAATAAATTAATGCAACGTTTTTATTGGTCAATACAATCAAAATGATAGGAATTCTTTTGAACGTTGTGCACTTTCAGGTCCACAAAAACATATAACAAAGGAGTCTGACGGGTTTCATAACCATTCCACTCAATTAACTATGCTTTGGATGGATAGCCTTCATGGTATGTTATCTTGAATACACGTACATGCATACTTAGAAACTGAACTAGGTGACCGTCAAGCAGCCTGTATTTAAATTTTGTCTCTTACGAAAATTATAGCCCTTACTCTTTGCAGAGGTTTAGTGGTCGCTTGCTAGCCAAACCTAGAATAACGAGATTGATTTGTAAGTAATGTATACTGTAGTAATTTATGTTATTTCCGTGTTCTTTTTGCATGCCAGTAACCTTTAAAGCTTCTTATTAAATGCTCGGATGTTTTTAAGAGTTGGTTCACCTTCAGTTTAACAAGTCCAAACGGGTCTTTTGTTTCTATATGTTAATCTTTTAAATTCGTGACATTTTCTTCACGTACGCGCAAAACTGAAAGTTGAACAAAGTAAGGGAACTTTTGAACGTGTTACAATGCCTAAACGGTAACTTTCAAAACTCTTATAATAATGGCTGAATCGGCCTTGTAAGTGAGTAGCGCTTGTATTTTTTGGTTTTACGAAGATTTAATTGGTCATCGTATTTTTGAGATGTCGTTCTTTATAAGCTTTTCTGAAGTAGGATTTTTTTATTCTTGGTGTTTTCAAGTGGAGGCTAATACTATCTTTACATTTTAAGCAGATTATTTGAGATTTTTGATAAGTATAATTTTTTCTATCTGAACTTCTGACAGATACTTACATGGACAAAACTAAGTTCTCGTGATCCCCAATTACTGCAATAGATAACAGAGTGATCCTCTCGTCCCCTCTACCTAATAACGTAATTCCTCTAAAGTTGTCTGATAAATACCGTTGTATTAGTGTAGGTAATAGCATGATTAGTAGTGATATTTGGCAGAAATACGACGAGTGATATTTCAAAACTGTTATACGTAATTTCACGAGCCGTTAGATGAGTGAAATGTGAGACAAGTTTGAAATATCAAGAGTGGTATTTATGCCAAATATCACGTACAAATCATGCTATTATTTGTTTATACTACTACCCGCAGAAAGTTTGTAATTTTCACATGTAGGTATTTCAAATTAAGCTGAAATACCACTGCTCTAAGCCAATCAAATTGCTGAAATTTCTCTTGTAGTGGTGTAAAGCATTATCATTAGAGACCTTTAGATTGCATGACGACATCGACTACGAGAGCGAAATTTGACCTAAGGTATTCTCAAGGTACAGGTACCCCAGGAAGATTCATTTTACATTTTGCACCAGAAAAGTTGAACATCTAACAACCAATAACTTTTTTCCGCCACTAAGACGTCGGCTATCACGTTTTCCCGCCAAAATGACGCTGGTTCACGCGCGCTCCAGTAATTTCGTTCTCGTAGTCCTCCTCCTCTTGGGATCTAAGAGTCTCAAGATCTCTCTAATATAAACTCAAGGCTTATGCATGTGCAGCAAATTTTACTTTGGGTTAAATTTCCAGACACTTTTGCTATTCACTTTACATACATCACCACAGATTATAAAGAAAAGAGGTAATGCCAGGGGTGTGGGGAGGTAAGGTCTGGAACTGGGAAAACAAAGTTTTCACAACTTGTAAAAGGGTC